AGGTGAATCCAGCCTTTGCCAATTCCTTCAGATCAGTCAAATTGCTCAGTTACCTCAGACCTTTCGTGATAAAGGTCAATCTTTTCACTTCCTGGGGGAGAAAATAAGCTAAAATGAGTTTGTTTGGTTTTTTTCCTTCTTAAGAACCGACAATTTCCAGAAAGCGATGCAGTCACAAACCTCAGTAGCAAAGTGATGGATGGGCTTCAGGAACACGCGGCTTTATTAGCAATTCTTCCACTTTGAGTGTATTAGATGTATCTAGAATTTCCATGGAGAAACCCGAACCTCTAAAGGATGTGCCATGATCGCTAGAAAAGACATGGGTCCACTAGGTGGCACAAATACACCATTTAAAAGCAAGAGCAAGCCAGGCGCTGCCTACCTCCTATTCAACATGTTTTATTTATGCATTTATGCAAAGCAAATGGGTACAGATAAAGATTGTACACACAGCTATAATCCAGTAACCCACACATCTCTTTTCAAATAAAAACAAGCTCAGATGTCACCGTGCTCCTTTGGACTTAGAGGCTCAGTGAAAATCTCCCCAAAGAGCAGTATCTGCTCCTGCAGACCTTGACTTACTCACGGCTGACTAACCATGCTGCAACTCATTTCTGTGCTTGCATTCAGGAAAATACAGCCGTCCCTGCTCAGCAGTATTAAAATCAAGGAGAAGCAGCCACTGACTTTCTCATTTTTCCCACCTTCTTCCATTTGCCATCACGCCATTCTAGTTAGTTTAAGCAAACAATTCCTGCACCATCACCTTGAAATGGCAGAGGACACACCACTGACAAACCTGAGGGAGCAACTCTGCTCAGATGATGCTGAGCTAGCAGCTCACACAGGCGGGATAGGCAACTATCACGTGATAAATTCCCAAACTCACCATCTACCTGAGCTCTAATGTAGATAAATCTAACATTGACACAAAACAAAGGCAATACAATTATTTTTATACCCAAAATTCTAAAAAAGTCACAGATCATAATACAGGTAATAAGGGACAATTTCACTGCAGCTGGATAGGCACGTGCCTAATCACACTACTGTTAGGAAAATTTCCCAGTCAGAACTGTTGCCCCTCTGGACAGCCCTTCTGAGACCATCTAGTCCAACCCCCTGCTCAGAGCAGGGTCATCTACAGTAGGCTGCCCAGGACTCTCTCCCATCGGGTTTTGAATACCTCCATGGATGGGGACTCCACAACCTCTCTGGGCAGCCTGTTCCACTGTTTGACCACCCTCATGGAAAAAAAAGCATTTTTCTTATGTTTAAATGGAATTCCCTGTATTTCTATTTCTGCCCATTGTCTTTTGTCCCTTCCCTGGATACCACTGAGAAGAGACCGTCTCAATCTTTTTACTCCCACCCATCAGGTATTTATGTACATGGAGATGTTCCTCTCCCAGCCTTCTCTTCTCAAGCTTGCTCAGCCTCTCCTCATGTGAGGGATGCTCCAATCCCTTAATCATCTTTGGGGCCCTTTGCTGGACTTGCCAGGAATGTCCATGTCCATGTTGTATTGAGAGCCTTACGGAAGACATTGTGTTTGGGGAGTTCATTATCTTGGGCAAGCCGCGTCTGCTCTGCTGGGCACGAGCAGCCCATACGTGGGCACGGGTAGCTGCTGTGCGGGGAATCTGCTGGAGCGCCCCGTGCCCGCCTGTGCTGCGCGCTGGTGGATGTGACAGAGAGAACGCTGCAGCCTGCCCGAAGATATATGGGGCTTTTTTGCTTTTGTGGCTAAAACAGTGCTGGCAACACACCAGTGTTTCTTCAGCTGTTGCTGAATAGTGCTTGCACAGCATCAAGGCTTTCTCTCTCCCCCCATTTATACTGGAGGATGAATGGCAAGACTTTAGGTTCCGGAATTAATACTGCTGCAGCTATTATGATCTTTGTGTTGCCCAAGAAGGGTCAGAGGATGAAATGAAACCGGACTGCCTGTATACACACAGCTAAAAGACTAGGGTACCAAAACTGCACACAACTGCTTTCTTACACTGTTAGCAGAGAAGAAGAGGAAGTATAAAATTCTGTCCCAAAGAATGGTTTAAAACAACCAAAAAGTCTGTGGTCATACGGTTTCATTTAGGAATAATGGCATTGGAATAGGTCAGGCTTGCCACATGTGCACCAATTTCTGTATAAAATATTTTAAATTGAAAGATTGAAGCCCTAATCTTAACCTTTTTTAATTAGCATCACACAGGAATCCCAATGTTTCTCAGATTTAGGGTGACAAAAAAAAAAGAACAAATTGGGTTTTCCAACTGAACCCTAGAATTGCTTATTTAATGTTAGATGAATTATCTAAATTTTAGGGACATACTGTAAGACAAAAAAAAATTAATTCTAAGAATTTCTTAAAAACACATTATGATAAGTTTAATTGAGCAATTTAGGTTTTAATAAATTGATAAAAACTGTTCTTTTATTTTCTCCAGATTCCTCTGCTTCTGACAATACACTTTCTTTGTTTTGTAGAGAAACAACCCCAACGATTATTGCTTCTCCTTTATTATTTTTCTGATGTTATTCTTCCCCCATCCCCAACTGCAGATAACAACAGAAGACAGACAACTTGAGTATTCAGACTTTTCCCATGATTTGATGTCTGCCCCACTCTGCTTTTAACTCACCCCAGCTGAGGACTAACACAGGTCATGAGGCTTCCACGATCTTTTGATCTGCCAGAAGGTGAAGACAGCACAGAAGCTTCTTGGAGCAGAGTCCAGGAGAGTCATGTTCATATCCCGACTCACATAAGCCTTGTTTCATACATGACGTATATGGTAGTCCACAGATTTAAATCTTCCACAAATTTGTGCTTGTACTTTGTACTTGATTTAAAAGCAAAGTTGTATAAATATTACTTTTCTTTTATTACAAAAATGTATATAAAAATAATAGTAACAGAAGCTTTACTATAGTCTGAATATTAGTGATGTTTTAGTGTTAGAAAGCTGCACAGGCTTTGGTCACCAAAATGATGCCAGTTTTATTATACCATCTGTGCTCAACGATCCGCTAATTCTTCATAATTGATATGCATGTAAGAATTACTATTAATTGAAGTGTCATGGTTTTAACTGTAATGTCAAAATATACATTTTTTTTGGTAAGATGAAATACAGTATCTTCAAGAAAATGGAACACTTGCTCTTTTTTTTTTTAATTCAGATTCCAATTTAAAAGAGTTTATATACAAAATAAGATATTTAAAAGTCACCACTGAAGACATGGAGAGCAGAACATGAGTCCTTTTCTCCTTCTTACTGGACTGCTTCATTCTAAATAATTAACGTCAGTTAGCTTCAGTGAAAACTACTGACTTAATTACAAACAATATTAATACATAAGTAACATTTAGAGACAACGATCTCCCCATTCCTGTAACTGGCAAATAAGAGACCTAAAAAGTAAAACACTTTAAATAAACAATTCCTTTCAATGGCTCAGAAGCCTAATGTCATACAAGTATTTTCAGGTACTTCTGAATGGGTGTTCTAAGTTGTTTTTAATTAGTAAAATTTAATACATATAGACACATAATAAATAACAAAACTGACAAAATACAATATATGAAAAATAAAATATATCTATATAGCTTGCAACAGCAATTACTTACCTATGAATATGAGACAATATTTCCAGTAACACAATATTCTTTGTAATTTCTAACTGTAACAAAATAGTGCAAAATAGATAAAATCTAAAAGAAGAAATTTTTTTTTTTTCCATGTCATTTAATATGTTGTTAACACCTTAGACACGCTTGTAATGTTAGCTGGTAATCACAGTTTTTTATTCAACATTAGGCAAGCAGAACACTACCTGTTGGCCAATGCAAGGAGGTACAACAATACAGCTCCCACTTCTAGTCCTCTGCATGATACCTATGAATATGCATCATGTCAACCTGAATGGCGTGTAATTATTAGAAAACTGTATGTTCTTGAATAGAAGAATGATTTGATATACAATTATCTATATAGATGGACTTTAAGAGCATATCATAAGATTGTGATTGCTGACCGCATCTTACTTCATAGCCTAAATTTGAAATGCTCCTCTGCTAAATACACCAGATATTTAAAAATTAGTTCTCACTGCATTTACCCAATATGTGTGTCACAACATAAAGGCCTGTGTCACCTCTTCAACAGCTTGAGCTTAACTGTGTGAAGGATTCCAGGTTTTGTTCTGATCTTTTAAAACCAAAATTTGAAAAATATCTCCAGATATGTTTCAAAAATTTGAATATAAAATACTTTAGAATTAATTTTATAATATTTAAAGGATTTCAATACATCTTTAAAAATACAATTTTTCTCTTCACTTTTTATTTAATATTGGGATAATATTTAAAATGCAGTTTCACACAAAGATTAAACAAAAGGAGATGAGTAGTTTTTAGATGACAAAAACATTAATAAAGAATAACTGGTTTTTTTTTAATTAAGAAAAGGTACAGTAAACAAAATGCATTCACAAAATAGTTGATCAATACTTTTAAATACCCTGAAGAATGACCTGTAAACAGAAAACACTTGTTAAAAGCCCAAACATAGGAAATTGTCATGAGTATAAAACATACACTGGCTCAGCATTTTTAAGACAATTATGTATGTTATTCTATGTTAGCTTACACTAAGATGAACAAACTTCTGTAACCATATGAGATAAGCAAACAGAAATAAAATAATAAAATGAAAACGAGAGATTGTCGTATCAAGTACTCGTTTCCTTCTCGTAATTATTATGTTTGCAAAATAGTAATAAAACTTAGCCAGCCTTGATACAAAAGCCAGTCACCCCAGCCAGTTGGGAAAGCAGAATTTTGCAAAGTTGGTTACTTCACCGGTTCTCAGAAATTTCAAAGGTAATCACTGATTTGAAGAAAACAGAGGTAGAATACAAGTCAGCCTTCATAATTTTCAAAAAAAAGTCCTTGTAACAAGGTAGTGCTTCATTTGCTCAAGTACTGGTTATTCCTTGAAGCTCACATTTCTGGTGGAGAAAGAAAAAATTTCAAAATAAAGCTATCTATTATATTTTACTAATGAATATTAGGATAAAAAGTAATAATTAGATTTAGCCTCCTCATATTCTCTTCTGTTATTCCTGAATATCAACTATTAGCATATTATCTACAACTCTACATTCAGTTTATTGACTCATTGCTCAAATGCTTAACAAAGTAAATGTGAGACAAGGAGGAAGAGAAAATTTCTTGAGAAGATTAAATCAGATTAGAGAAAAAGACAGTTGTAACACTACAGAACAGTAATTACAGGAGTACACTCTATTGTGGTAAGCTCCCAGGAAGGAATAAGTAAGTAGGGTGAAAGATGCTGATAGTACTACTGAGAACTTTCTAATGTAATAATGCATTGATAGGTTGAAAAGGCAAGATAGTAAAAAATTAAACTGCATATGAATTCATTTGTTAGAAACCACTTTCTTTAAAAATACATACTTCATGAAAATGGGATATTTTCTGATAAGATATGGTACAGAGCTGTCATTGTTAAAACCAACACAAATAGTAGGATAAAAATAGTTCACTACATGGTATTCTTCACATATAGCAACTGGACTAGTTTTATTGCTCTTGGGACTCACTGTAAAGCAAGGAAGACTAAAGACAATTCTCTACTGATGATACTCATTCTCAGAAACATATTATCTATCATTTTCTCGGTCAAAATGTTGATTTGCAACATAACAGGGTTTGCCTAATGGCTCACCAGCAAAGCGAAAGTCATAACTGCTGTTTCATCCCCACTATCAATATCTCATTTCCTATAGTTTCCTTTTTTTGCTTTGTCCAAAAACTTGCAGAAGAAGAGAAAAATTGCTGACAATGTGGATCGTGCCATGCCGACCCCAGTTCTCGGGAAACCTGTCTTTTGTTAACAAAAGTAAGCTTAAGAACAAGCCATATGTATCTATCAACAAAAATAAAGTTTAAAATCTTATCAGTTTGGAATTCTGTTTCTTTAGCAGTTCGATAGTTAGATTCATGAGCTGTTATAGTATACTATATAGCTGTAACAGCACACATTTCCTAAAACAATCACTGTTTATCTCTCCCTGTCCTTCCGCTCTTCACTGCAATTTATTATGCAGTATAGGACAGACAGGATATAAAGTCAATAATCAGGCCTGTAACACATCACTGACAATCTAAAACAACAATGATCTCTAAAAGAACAAAAATGTCCGTGAAAATGAACAGGTGAGAGGTTGATTTTGATTTCTTTTTTATGGGCTCTAGTGACCACGATCTTCGACATTCATAGGATTCAAGCACTAACAATGAAAAATGCATTAATTATTTTTTTGCACTTGTTCTGGAGACAGTTTAATCTAATGTGTAAGGTTCAAATACATTTTAATTAGACTCTCTCCCATGGAGCGTCTTTCTTTCGTTGCTGTATTTGAGAGAATTTCATGGCATTTCTCTTAATATGAACCATTCATGGTTTGGAGATAACTATTAAAAATAATGAATTGGCAATATATATTTGGATATAATTAATGGTAATAATAAGCAGGCAATATGTATTTGGAAGCTGTCAGCTGGTGCAAGACCATTAACAAAAACAGGAATGGGAATCCATTAGATTATATGGTCTTTGGAGAGCACTTTGCATCTATCGTTTCCAATCAATATTTTATAGTAGGAGAGTCAATAGAAGAAGAACTTAGAACCACCTAAAGTGTGTAAGAATTTAATACAATTTAAAAAGTATTCTTTAGAAAGAGTTTAAACCTAAGTCTTAAACAGAAACAATCTGCTAAAATCAAATCACTTACTTTTCAGCTGCTGCTTGATCGGTTGTCCTTACAATGGTACGTTCTGGAGAATGTGAGGGAGACCTTAATGTTGAACTGAGGGGAGGTGAAGCACGTAATGATGATGTAGAGAGACCATGTCGACGCATTTCCTGAATTGCACGCTCTCTGCCAACAGATAGCAATTTCAGTTATATAACATTTTAGTACTTGCAGCATGTTAAAGGAAGAAAGCATAACTTTTTTTTTCCAAATTTTTACTTTGTGATTTTCACAATACTTTGCAAAGAGCCTTGTTTTCTCATACTGTCACTCAGCTTTCTTCTTTTTTCATGAGAAGGGATTTTTTTTTTTTAGATGCAATGGTAAACTCACAAAATTTATGAGGGAATTCCAAAACTGTATGTTTTTAAAAATTTTTTTAATTAAGCAGTTTTCAAGATGAGAATACGAGGTTTTGCATGACAATAGGAACATAATTTTCCATAAAAGTTCCTCTGTACTGAAAAAAGCAACAGTTTTAAAAGCGAGAAAGAAGAAATGAGAAGAGTCACCTCACTGAAAAAACAGCATCTTACCGTTCAAATCGTTCAGTTGTCAGTTGCCTTTTTAAAACATCACAGTCAGTCTGCAGCTGTGCAACTTTACTTCGAAGTATGGGAACCTCTCTATTATAGCTGCTTCTAAAAAAATCATGAGAAGCAATAAAGGTTTCTTTGAACACCATCAGCTAGGAGCTTAGATGAATTAGAGCAAGATAAAACAAAAATAGGTACTGAACATGTTGTTTCACACAGACCAAATCGAAGACAATTAGAAGCAGCGAAAACCAAGTGAATGCAGCAGAATGTTTCTGGAAGAACCTAAGGTGAGAAAGAAGTGAGAAGCTGGCAAGCCTCTTACTACATCCTTAATTACAATACATCATGTTCTTTTTCAGACAAAGGTAAACACAAACATGTTTTAAAAAACCAGACAAAACCACTAAATCATTAATTTATTGATTTACTATCCTCTGTTGCAATGTGAGATGGTCTTTATGTGTACACTTAAAGAAAGAACAACAAAAGCAGTAACTATGCACAAAAAATACAAACATAACAGATATGGCTTCAGTGAAAATTGTATCAAGTAGGCTGGAACTATCTGCTTAGCAAAGAACACAACTGAATCAAATCTAAGTAAAAGCTGTATTAATGCAAGCTCAGACCAGCAAAACCCAGAGTCTGAAAGCTTGTCAACTACAACCTTGGTGTTTGGGCCCAACTGTTTCAATGGCAAGAATCAAAATGAAAAGCAGCCTTGAAAATCTTAAATAACATAATTAAATATACTTCTTAGCAAATCATCAACTTGGACGACTCAATGCTTGGTTGCAAAACACCATTAATTGCATTACAAAGCAAGCAAAAAAAAAAAAAATCATTGAGTGTAAAATAAGTTGTCTAAACCAGAATCTAGACAGCTATGTTATGCCATAGAGTCTTCAAAGCCAGTATGAGGTGGAGTGCTCAAAAGTCACTTCTGGAGAAGCAAAGATGTACTAGTTTATTGCTAAAGCACTGGACTTGAATTCTGAAAAACGAGTTCCACTCCTAGCTCAGTCACAGACTTCCAGGAGTCAGAGACCAGTGGGTGCCAGACAGGAAGATGCAAACTACTCCAGGTAACTGATCCAAAAAGAACCGCAGAATATATTTTCCTGTGTTCCCTATTCATCAGTAAAATTCCTAGAATGGTATCTTGATCCAGTATGTTGAGAACAGACGGAGAAGACAAGAGGTCTCGATGATATCTTATTCTAAGTCCTTCAGAGACAGGCATATGCTTTCAGGATGGAGGTAAGAATTCAGGGCCCAATATCATTATTGTAAAATAAAGAAAGAAAGCAAACAGTTTTGTGAGTTCTGAGGTTATTCCATGTCAGTACATTTAAACAAAATTAAGATCATGAAGTAAATCACTCAAAAAATAATAAATATTTTAATTTGGAACCCCTATGCACAGTAATCATCATATAATAAGATTACATGATGATATACTATTTTTTCACAGGACATCTGGCTCTTTCACAATAGATACAGATAGCTCTCAACAAGTAGTTTAGCTATTCAATATTCTCTCTTTATTTAATACTTAATCACTGTAGAGCCTCAAGATCTCATTTACTGTACTATCACCCAAATAGCACTCTGAGTAACACAACTACTCACTCTTCACAGAGCTCAAAATTACAGCATTGGAGAACTTCCCAAGTTAAACTTAATTTTGAGAATCCTTCTAAAGTCAGAGGTTGTATCAGTACCATTTTTTAAGTAGAATGGAAGCGCAGGCACAATAAGGCCAAAACTGTAAATAATGTTCAAAAATATTGACACTCAATTTTTGTCAGTTAGAATTAAAATTTTGCCAAGTCAAATGGATTTTTATATTTTGCGAGACACAAACATAATTGTCACATACTTCAGTCACAGCTGTGAGCATTTGAAGTTCCTGTTCTTTAGACTGCAACTACTACAAACCGAAGAGTAGAAAATAAGGTATATACAACTAGTTCTCGCATCTGAATATTTGCCTAGCAACATGCAGAACCTTTGAGATAGACAAAGGAAAACAATTCAATAGAATAGCCACTATTCTTCCTAGAGAACATTTTCCTTCTTCTTGCAATATCCCATCCTATAAACAATGCAAGTACTGACATTTACAGCAAACAAGAAAGGAACCCTACAATGTGTGCGGAAGAAAAATTGTGAAAAAAATACTATGAAGTTATTTAAACCGAGTTTTATAATGTTTGTACACAAAGAAGCTAAATTAAAGTTAAATGAAAACCTCCTTTTCTTTTTTTTTTTGTAACTTTCACATTTAATTTCACAGTCAGGATATTCCATTAGTTTATGTTCTTTGCATGCAATTAACTTTTTTCCCCCAAGTAAACAAAACTCAGCAATTCTAAAACATGAAGCAATGAGTTGCACAGGGGCAATTAATAGTGTTGTCATCTACAGATTCACTGAGATCACTGCTACTTGTGGTGGACTATGTCAGTGCTAAGTTGTAGCCTTCACGTAAATCAACCGAAAGCTTTTTTCTTGCACATTTGCGTCACCAAGTTACAGATAGCTTTTAACTGTTTAGGTATGCTATATTCTGTATCTCATAAAGGAAGCATTATCTGCCCTTTTACTTTCCATACATTTCCCTTCTCTCCCTACCTCAGTGTTTACTAAGTGGGTGTATCTGTTTTTCTTTTTCTGAAGTTCTACTTTGACTTTACTCTTCACCACCATCTACATTCAGCTGCTACTCCTCCTTCTTGCTATTTAATGCAGAGATACCACTACAGTCACTGGCTAATGTATCCCCTGGAGAATTATCATGTAATGACAACATGTATCATGGAAACTTCAAATTCGCTGCTCCATATGATGAAGAAAATTTTTTAAATCCCCCACTTCTCTCGTACATGAATTTCATATACACAAAATATCCCCCCTTAACTTCATTGTTCCAAACAGATTAGTCTTTCTTATATAAGAGTGTTAAAAAGTTATTTCTATTCTAGGCAGATGCACAGCATAAAAAGTTGCAATCAGCTATACTGGAAAGTGCTGGCCACATTTAGTGTAGGTGTCAGGGTCAGTTCTGTTTATATTTCAAAGGAACAATAAACGGATACAGGACTTTTTCCTTAACAGTTAATATTAATAGCAGAAAAAGTACTTTTTTAAAGCACTATGACTTCACTATTTATCGTGTAAGTGATTCTTATTTTAATCAAAGTAAGGACAACAGGCATCTTTAGTAGGTAGGCAATTCACATTTACCATGGATTTAATGTACTTGGTATTTTGTGAGCAGTACACATACGTTAAAATTTTACTTGCAATTTGCTTTGAGATGCTTGATGAATCTACATTGTTCTAAAGGAGTTAGGACTTCAGAATACTCTCCAATATAAGAATATAAAACACAGTTCAAGAGTAAGAAAATTTGTGTTCTCTTAATAACTAAACTGATAGTTAAACTCTTCAAAGCCAAATGAAAATATGACATTTTGCTTAAAAATGAGAGTTGAATTAGATTGCTTCCTGAAGCTAAGAAGAAAATCAGAACCTGTGCGAGAGGTGGTTTTATATTTTGAGAACTGATACACTCTGATGCAAAGGTTAAATATCCAAATCATACTGCAATGCATACATACATTTATAGATGTACTCAACAGCTAAAAAAATTTAGAAATTATCATGGGTTGGCTGGTTCTATAGTGGAAATAATGTCTGCAACAGATCAGCTACCTCGCCATTACGTAGTTATGTCCACCAAGAGGCTCAGAACAGAACGATTTTAATGATTGCACTGAAAAGATGGCAGACTTATTTCAGACAAGTAAACTTCAGGAAAGGTATCGCCTCCTGTGCCTGACTGATGTGAGAAAGAGTCATGTCCAGCAGAGAAAGTGAAGTAAACTTTCTGGAGTCAGACTGGGGACAAATCCAGAGAGAAACTGAGCGTTTATTCTCAAGACTGTGAAAACTCAGCAGGGCGTTCCTTCCTCTTAGAGTAGGTTTCCTTTGGAACTCCTGTTTAAGTTTACTGCTTGTACTAAACTGATGTCCACCAGAGTGCTGATTATATGAAAGCGATATGAAAGATCTGTAAAGAAACTTTAAGTAAACGATGCCATACTGAACACCAAGAATTTGACTTTCTGAATAAGTGTTGTCACACAGAAAAAGTTTCTCTGTAAACCACATAACACATACATACGCTTGTTAAAACTTACAGTTTGCTCTCGGCTAGTGTTAGCTTGTCCTTCAATAACTGAATTTCGGAATCTTTCTCTTGGGATGTTAAATGGTTCTGAAATTCTTTGTCTCTACTAGTAGCCAGCAATGTTTCAAGGTTCTGAACTGTAAGTCTCTCACTGGATAACTGCTTTTTCAGCAACTCTGCTTCTGCTTTTATATCTTCTAATTCACCTAGAACCTAGGGCACAAATTTTATACATTATTAATACACTGGTTTACAAACACACAGAGTTCTCTTTTGTGAAGAGTTGTTATAAAAACTGAGATGATTGGAAGTTTCATAAAAATGAACAGGAAACTGAGCTCACAAAACAAATTAAAGCCTACAATTATTTAAAACTATATTTAGTTAAAAACTATTCAAGCTGTACATCTGTCAAATGTTTTACTGACAGCTGGATTACTGAGTGCTGGAAATGCTTAGGTAAGTACCCGGAACACTAATTGGCTTTTAACAGCAGTAGGTTTTTGCACAAGTACAAAAATAGTATTTACTATACTTCATTCTCTTGGACTAGGTTAGCTCACAATTAGCTTCTTGGCTTTTGCTGAAAATGTAGGAATGCTTGTTTTCTTCATCAGTTCTATGAATATAAACAAATTCTGTGGGGATGAGAAGTACTGTTCTCAAGGTCTTGAATATTACAGTAACAGAAAGCCTGACCAAATCACTAAGTGAAGACACAACGATCAGCTGTAAAGAAAAAAATTTCAGAAATTATGGATATTTAGAACTGTTTAAACTATTTCAAAATATTTCATGAACTTCAGCTGAATCTAAATTTGAATTTAATTGAAAAAATCCATTAGGGAAAAGTCTTTAATATCTAAATAAGAAGTGCACTATTCACTTTTTATAAAAGTTGAAAATCTGAGTAAATTAAAAAACAGTACATAAAACCAAATAAATATAATTTGTCTCTGTGGTATAGCAAAAACTACTGCTGCTACATTTTATAGTGATGATGAGCAAAAGAAACTCCTCCTTTTTATTCAAAAAACACAGATACAGATCTGTATACTGCAAAAGTTATTTATATAAAATGCAAAACTAGTGATGTAAACTAACTTACCTTGCTCTCAGAAGTAATTTATCCTTTTCTCCAAAACCCATTAAAATCAAAGGAAGTTATTTATTATAGCAAATTAAATTTGCCTTTGCTGCTTACCCTTTCATAATCCATGCTTTTGGATGTCAGCTGTCGAGATAAAAGTTCTTTGTTAGACTCAAGTTTCACACAGAGTTCCCTCACAGAAGCCAGGTCCGCCAACACTGAAGACTTATCCTGATTTTCACGTTTAAAATCCTCTTCCAATTTGGACATATTTTTTGTAATGGAGGAGATCTGAGATTCATATGCTTGATGTGCAACAATATGCTAAACAAAGACAAATATGGATACCCCTTCAGTGTTAAATGTTGAGTTAACAGTTCTCTGTTGGATAACAGGGGTTTTTTTAATACTTTCTTTCCCTTTCAAAATTAACTTTCCCTATAAAATTAACTTTGTATTACATTCCTTTCCTCTCCTCTCCCTAAATCACAGCTACGAACAACTAGTAAACCATCTCTGCAATTTTTAATCACCATCTTGAAGAATTGTACAAGTATTATACAAGAGTGGAATAAGGATGGATTCCAGCTTCAGAAGAGAATAAAAAGCTTAAAACCCAAAAAATGCAATCTGTTTTTTACTCAGCTTACAATATTAAAGTTTCTAACTCTTTTTGGCTAATTAAAAGCATGAGACAAAATATGGTCAATCCACAACTACTATACTTTAAAACTTCCTTGATCTCCATGAAGTTATTGCTTCTAAAATATAAACCTTATTATTTTCTATGATATTGGTCTAGGTTTCGGTATTATGGAATCCTGGTTCTGGATTTAGGCTAGTACTACCAGATTTTTACCTTTACTCCAGCCACCAATGCTTCAAATACTTCATTCAAAGCTTCAAAGAAATGTAAGAACTAAGCTTACAAAATACTCATAAAGCTAGCTGACAAAATACTCATAAAGCTATATGCAAGTATTTTGAAGCAACTAAACAAAAGGTTCTTACAGAGACAATAACATAATATCAACGATCACCCAACACAAGAGATCTAAAAGTATTAAAATATAGGTTGTGATTCTAATTTTGGGAAAGCAGGGAAGGGAGAAGGAAAGCACATCTAACCAAAATCAGTTACTGTTTCAAAAACTCAGTATCCACATTTGAAACATTCACGTATGGGAATTATTTTCCATTAAAGCATTAAAAATAGTATGTTGACTTTGTTAAAAAACAGTTGAATGTATCCCACTTTCCTACAGACTTTCGTTGCACAAGTTATTACCCCTTGAATCTCTTTTTCCAGAAGTTCTACTCTCTCTCGAAGATGTCTCCGATCTGTATCTACAGAAAGGAGTTCAAGTCGTATTGAGCTGCTTTCCCCTTCAGCTTGATGAGCCTTCATTTCCCAGTCTTCAGCTTGCGTATGGAGCATTCGGAACTTCTCTAACAATTCTTGGTTTTCTTTTTCCTAGATGAAACAGTAAATCACTCTGCAATGATCAACATACCTTCAAGTTGCTTGATCTTATTTCATGCCTACTCTCTACAATATCTTTTTTTTCAGAAGAAAGTAGATCTTTCTCCATTTTCTTAATCCCACTATCTGGCAATTACTAAAGGGCATCATCCCTTTTGCAAGTCTAAATAGTAAATAAATACAGTGATGGGCATTCAGTTTTATTACATGGAAGTATTTACATTAGCAGTTGTTAATGAGTTTCAAGGTTCCCAGGGGAGGGGTTATTTTGGATCTCTCTACATTGTCAAGGGTCACATTACTGAGATGTACTGATCCTAGTGCTGCCCTTTCCAAGGAGTTCCAGCAAGAGTCCATTTTCAGCTCTTTTACTTACTGCGCTCTTACAAAAATTTATATTCAGCAGTGCCTGAAAGACTGATAACCTATTCAGGCATATACACCTAAGCAGTCTATCATAAAAGTACAAAACTGCAAGCTTTAGTGCTTACAAGTTATGCAGTGATAGAACAAATGTTGCTTGTGAATTTTAATTTGGCCCAACTGCAAGTGCATATGAGGCAGTGACTAATTTTTCTTCTTTATTTAGCTCCATTCCCTTCTTCCCTTGTTCATGTAATGCACAGTGGGATAAGCATGTTGCTAGTATGAATCAGATTTATCTAATGATGAAGGCTACTGTTTTTGAAATTCCTTCTGTGTTTCCTGCAGAACTTGGAAGGTACAGACAGAATGAGGTGAGGCATTAGGAAACAGAAACTCATGATTAAGCTAGTGAACACTGTGCAGAAAAGTAAAGGCAACATCCAGATGTAATACTAGGCAAATCCCTGAAACCAACCGTTTATAATTGGTTACTGGCTGTGTATTCTACAGCTTCTTGGTACCTGACTTGAATAACTGGATTCTCATTTGACAAAGATGTGGCCACATCTGTAACTGAAGTGCTTTGGACATATGATATATTATAAAATTCTTAAAAACTAAACTTCAAGTGTTTTAAATGGAGAGTTCTAAGCTAACATACTATTGACCTTAATTTTTTCTCTATGCTTCAGTTTCTACTTGTAAGAAATGGTTGAATTTACGTGCATTCATCCAGACATGCAAGTCAAAGTCAGATCAAAACTCATTCTTTCCTATTCAAAGTCACATAATAAATTTGCCAGTTCATGTTGTCTTGACATAAATTTATTTGTTTAAATGATTATAAGTTTTAATTCACGCATGTCACACTTTCAAATCCCAGTATCAGGATAAAATACATTTAACAAGAGCACTATTTTGTCAGTAGCAGCAAAAACTCTGAACTCTTATCGTTCATAGAGAAAACATTCCAATGTGCTATTTTTACACTTTTCTGCAGAAGTACATATAAAATTTCTCTTTTTAAAAAGTGTAAAATACTAAAAACCATCATATAAGCTGCTTGTTGCCTACAATCATGAAATGGTACCAGATATTTTACTTAGTTGCCTTGTCAAAACTCAAAACCAACATTCAAACATGATTTGTTTGTCATTCTCCAGTGTTATGGCTAACTGAAACATAATCAACGAAATTGTGATGTGCCAGAATTTATCAGTGCTTCAGATCTAATAAGGTTTTATATGAATCCACTACTAGCTTGAATCACTGCAGAGGAAAGAAGGAAAAAAAATAGAAGGAAATGGGACAGCAGGGAGAACAGGACCCAAACCATACATTTCTTAATTTGTTTATTGTATCGTAATGAAAATGTGTTATACCCTAAAAAAAATGGATTTTTTGAAAACAGTAGTGACCGCCTACAAATTATGCTTTTACCTTTGAAGCCATCAAGGTCTCAAATCTGGAAACTTCAGTTATATAATTATGAACCCTGGTTTTCATTTCTTCTTTTTCACGTATTGCATCTTCAAGCTCAGCACTGATAGCCTACAGAGATTACATAAAGGCAAAACAGTGCATTAGAGTAAATTAATCACTATGTATTACTGTATCAGACTAAATCAAAGTAATTGCATACGCCCTAGATTTTATTCTATTCTACTTTTAAGTAATTTAGTCAAAGCCCTTTGGGATTTGTAGGGTTCAGAAGTATCTCCTATTATCTTAGATACACCAAAGAGTTTTCCAGACAAGACTAATCACAGGAAACAATGAATATCATACCAGTTCATAAAATCTGCAGCTTCCTTGATGACACACCCTACTGATCTTTGCAAAATTCAACATACAGATGTTTGGGAGCTGGGATTTTTCTAGCTTTAAGATTCACTATTCCTGAGTGAAGGAAAGTTTTGTGTCACTAGAAAGTCAATTTTATAACAAAAGAACACTTATTTTAAAGTAGAATTGCATTATTAAGATCATATTTAGACATAAAAAATGCACCATGGAATTTGTTTGAGATGTTGGAACTGTTAACTCTGGCCCTCTCAGGTTCAGCCCTCACCTTTCTCTGAGTCCTCTAGCCCAGAGAGCCAAAAAGGCAAGTATCTTCTTCTATCTCCACGATCAAATGTGGGGAAATACAGGATATTGCCTTATTTCTTTCCGGTATATTAATATTCATTAACGGCAGCCTTTTTACTGTGTGCCTTATTTAGCATATGCTGAAATTAGTCTGCTTGTCTCTGTGGTAGTCTTCCTAAGCACAGTGGGAAAGCTTTAGTCATCACATTATGATAATATTTAATATTTCATCTCATTAGATACCTGTGAACAGCATCCCTAATTTCAATAATACACCCACATATCTATGTATTGTACCATAGGTTTTGCAAGAACTATTCAGGGTACTATATCAGTTACTTAAAACATCTTGCTATATTGTACTTTCTAGCGTCAGATTCAGACGGGTCAACTGAGGGGAATTGAAATAAATGGTTTAGCTAACAAGGCCCTGATTATTTTTAGTGTTGGCATTTACAGTGAATTCAAACAAACATTTGTATCTCAGCATCAAAATTGTACAAGGCATTTGAGTCTCATGATGAGCTGCAATAGTTGTATTTGCTATACAAATTCAATGTAATGAGTTGCAACAAAATTCTGCGCTAGCTCTTTAAATCACATTCACATATTCGCTACATAGTCTTTCTAATGTTTAGCCCAATAAAAAAAGTTACTTACCCTATAAAGCACTAGACATTTTTGTTATATATTGTCCATATGCACATTCTATTGTAAAGGGACATCCAGTCACGCACTTGGAGCTGGGAGGCTTTTGGTCAGCAGTAACCAGCTGGTGCACAAAACCAACTCATTATTCCTCAAACTTTGTGAGGGATTAAACAAGACTGAATGCACTTCAGGCTCTCCAAGCCATGGATCCCAGACCAAGAGAATTCCAAGGAAGAAGAGGTGGAGCAATGATGATTCGGAAGAGTGCAAATGGACATATATACTATATAAGCCCCTTATGCTCTTGAAAGAATGAGCCTTACACAACAGTGGTTGGTTTAACTTGTGGACCCCTGGAGAACATCTCAAGGTGAAGATGCCACAAGAATAATAATGATGATAATCAAACAGTTTAATTCACTGAATCTCTCAACTATTTGTCTTGCAAGATTTTTATTTAACCTACCCCATGAACTTGAGATAGCTCATCTTTCAATAAAATATTCAATGATACCCTACGGAAATAGGTAATTCCTTAAGGCATTGAAGATTTTATCTCAACTTTGATTCTGTAACTGATGTAAGTTTAAGTCGTGCCTTTACAGCATGCACTTTATAAGGAAATGTATTTAGCCATCAGCAGCTGAGAGTGACGGTATACCTCCCAACCGGAAAGCTGACCATAAATACACATGAACCTACTTAGAGTCCACTGGACAATCATAACCCACTTCCCACCTACTTTTTGTCCTAAAGCTACTGACTGGCTAGCTGTTAGCAAGGAGGTACATTATGACTCTAAACTACTAGAGAGCTGAGGAAAGATGAAATCATATAAAACTAATACAAATAAAAATATATAACATAAAACTCTGCAAGCAGTCAAATAAAGTACCTGAACAGAATCTCCACAAAAAACAAAACCCACACACAAAAAAAGCTGAACTCTAAGATACCACCTCACCATGACACCTACCTTACCAATGCAAAGACAATCCAGTAAGAACATTTCTCCAGGGAAATAGATGGCACCTTGGAATTCACCATCTAAAACCCCCACATAACCTTGACACAATGAAAAGAAAACCCCTCCTATTCCCATCGACTGTGCATCCTTATCCATTCCTGAAATCAGGAAACAAATTCAGACTATTCAGGACTATCATACCTTAAAAATAAGTTTTTTTCAATCCCTCTGTCGTGTAGCTTTTAAGCCCTTTTATATTTTCTCTCCCAACATTAACATTTCCCAATTCATCAGTGAAAGCAAAGTTCCTGCAGAGCAACACGCATGAATGGAAACTAACCTTGCCAGAACTGGAAATTAAAAACCTGCCAATACCTCTTTACAGCCACCATTACCAAGGCTCACAGAACACAAACATTAAAATCTACATTCCAAAACATTCTAATCTCAAAACGTGGCATACCTCACTCAATACACCCAATGCTTCATGGAAACTAGATGGATGAAACTAACGAATCACTATGCACCAGAACAAATTCAGATGTGCTAGCAATCTCCTCCCTCTCCCTCGTGCTTTCACCTGACTAATAATCTGATATCAGCTTGTGTGGTTTCTGGCTCTCTCTCAATAATCCCTGCTCCACAGATAATAAAACCCAATTTTTACCAATCAAATACCAACTACCAAGTGATATAATAATTGCATTATAGTATAAATAGTTATGTCCTAGATTTATTTTATTTAAATTTCTTTTTTAATCTGGGGAAGGGTGACTAAACTGTAAGCTTGTCTATTTCTCCCCCACTGTATTGATTACGCTTAAGTATCTAACGTAATTGCTTTTACAATTTCTGCCCAGTCATTTTTAATATGCCAGTGTTCAAGAAATACCAATAATTAAACATACCAAATCAAAATTGAGGATATAGCTGTTTTGATGTACCACTATATGTAAGAAAGCAATAAACAGTTTAATACTTCAGTATTATGTACTGCCTTCATACCTGATTTTCTCTGGCCATTGTAGCTAGGTCATCTTGCAATCGTCTGTTTTCTTTCAGAGCCATTTCCTTTACTCTTCCTGTTTCTGCAAGCTCTAAGTGGGACGTATCAAGCTGGCGATGTAAGCTAGATATCTCACGGTCTCTGTTGCTCAGCATGTCCTTCATCTGGCTATCAGGTGAAAATCTTATTTAAGTTGTCCCTTCTTATACTATACCACATACTGCTGAAAATGATCAGTCGTGGATTTTGGATATGCAAAAGCTTTTTTTTTTTTTCTTTTTTTTTTTTTTAAAAAAGGGTAAAATTCTTGCTCTCTGAAGGCTGACAAACTGAGTCTAAACATAAACATAAGCTAAGGATGTAAAATGTCAATATGCACAAATAAAATGGAATTAATTTTCAACTTTGAAGATGTATCTAGTAAGATGTATCTTATTACACAAACAGCAGTTATTTATGTTTATCTGTGTTTGGTAGTGGTTACAGTATGTTAGCCATTGCATATTTTATAAACCTGAAGGAAGAAGACAGATAGCTTACACTTGAAAGACAACAATCAAAAGAGTAAGGAAGAGATTAAACAAAAAAGTAGAAATATAAATATGTGTGAATTTAAATAAACTTTTGCATTAGTTTTTTGCCACAGATACGTCATGCGTCAATGTACCAAATATTCAGTTACACTGGTCTTCAGATGTTTAAATATTGATGTTTAAATATTTTCTTTTAAAAGCTATAGTTTAAAAAGTCATGCTTAAAAAGAGGCAAGAAGGAAAGATCAGATGAAGCCCAGCTAAAAACTACATAACTATATTTTAATTAAGACTGTACTGGTAGCTTAACTGGAAGAATTAGCTTGCCAATAATTAAGAGTTCAGCTCTCTAATAATATCTAGTGGAGTATTTAGAATACCAAAAAGCTACTTCTTAACTGAGAATTAAGAAATGTTACCAATTTAGGAAAATAAATATAGACAAATAATTCTTAATGGCTGCCTTAACAGTATCTTAGCAGCCTGCAATGTAATTGCAGGGGAAGTCTCTTCAAAAGTTGTGTACATCTTTCTCAACACAGTACACTCCTTTACTTGACTTAAACAGCATTAACTCCATTTCACCAAAATAACTAAAATAGCCATCTACTTTCAGTTTAAAACCACTAGATAAAATAAAACCACTGAAGAAGGCATCCTAGTCTTTACTTACTCTGTTGAGGACTCCAGCTCAGAGAGAGTTAGACGTAAATGAGTAATTGTTTTTTCCTATGAAAATAAAAGCGAAAGTTGTATTGGGTATTATTATATTGCAACATAACAGGATACTTCAAGTTAAGGAACTTTATATTTAAACCTTTATTTTAACACTTCACCAATAAGTAGTTGGATCTTTGCACATTCAAATTTCCAAGCTTCTTTTATTTACTGAGAAGGGATTGTCTTGTCATCAAAAAGATGAAACTCAGGTATACATTCTCTCACCTCAGGCTAGAACTTTATATCTCAATAAATACCTCCAAGTGCAAAATGCAAAAAATACTTCTTTATTTCCTTGGAGTGTTTAAGGAATACACTAACAATCATAATTACAATGCTATTGAGTTGGCAAATGACTCTTTGTATTGGCTATGTCCAAACATAGTGTTTATGTGATGCCTAGAGCTCTGCACAGGCTTTGTCATCAAGGGAAAATGTCTCCCTAAAATGTAATTGCTTTAAAAATCCCCAGATGGACTGCAAAGTACTACTTTTACTGCACATACCTTGTTAGCTAAGTTGTCATCTAAGCATGCAATTCTTTCTGTTTTTTCATCTACGGTTTCTTGAAGACTGTCCTTTTCTTTGTCCAGAACAGTAATAGTACTTCTAAGCACATTGACTGCTTCATCCTGTGAAGTGCTCCTCTGGTTTAACCTATCTATAAATAAAAGAATAAGTACTTCCTATTTTAAAAACAGGAAATAAGCATAAAAATAACTAGTGATTACCTATTTTCTCCTCTAGCTTTACAATTTCTTCTTGAGCTGACTGCAGTTCATCCTTTTTGAGGGACAATCGGTGCTGTAAATCTTCAACAGACCTCTGGAGTTGGTCATTTAAGAGCCTGGAAAATCAGTATACAGTTGAAAGAAGTTTGGGACGTATTCAGAGTAATCAACTTATGGCTCTTAAGCTGCTTGAAGTGCTGGAACTGTTCCAGCATAACCTCATGATAGGGTTGTGTCATACCAACCAGCAGCATGAGGTTGTGTCATACTAACCAGTCCTCTCCCTCCCTCTCTGGGATTAAGGATTAAGGATTGCTGAGGCCAACACCACTTGGTTGCTCTGGACTCCTGCAGAAAGTCCACCTCAACACCATTCCAAAATGGAGCAATGGAATCTCGGTGGAACCACCATGATAATCTGAAACATTCACTTGCTATGATTTCTGTTACTCTTCATCACGCAACTCTTGTTGCTTGTGTCTTTTGACTCTTCACCTTATAAAGATTTTGATATGTAGCTCATAGCAGTGATTATTGGCCACACCACATTTTAAGAAGCAACCAAATTGACAGCTACAGTTCTCATCCTATTTTTAAGAAATACAGAGCCTGAAAGATGTATGAAACCATCTACCTACATAGTGGTTTTGCTTAGCAAGAAATATTAGAGTGACCTAGGAAAAAAAATGCAAAATGAAACTCCAAAGTAATTAAATGGATTATTTACAAAACAGGTCAGGAAATAAAAATCCCTCTGAAGTGGGATCCCACAAAAGCTAGAGAAGCTTTTCATTTAAAAAAAAAAAAACATCAATCTGGAATACAGCATGTCTGCAGATAAAGATTGCTCTCACTCAGTTTAGAGTGAAACTTTGGGCAGGGGGGAAGGGGAGAGGGGGCAAACACAGCTATAAAAAATTGCCACCATGCGCAAAGTAGAACCAAATGCTGAAATGACTGTAGCCCTACTCCTTATATCCTCCTTTTTATAACATCAATGCTTTCCACTAAAATTATAAGGAACCTAACAAGATATTTCACTTTTATGAATGTTGTCACAATTTTACCAACAAATAGACTGACTGACTTACTAACAGCCACCTTTGTGCAATTGGGAGCATTACAGGAACTCCAAGGCCTGCTTCTCAGTTTCAGTTCTTCATAGTTATCCACCCTGCTATTGTACTGTTATACAGTGCAGTATAGTACTGTTGAGGTTGCGGGGTGGGGGGGGTCGGGGGGTGAGCCCCAGACCCTGGTTTCCCTTATAAAACATCCAAAAGATCTCATCTACAGCATTACCTATCCTGTAGTGATCTCTTACATCAAAGGCTCTCATTTCCACCCAAACCAAATGCCAGATTTCCAAATTTCTGCCCAGATTTATTCAAAACTCTATTTCCACTTTCTCTAAGCCTTCTTCTTGTTCCATCACATTTAGATAGCTCATGGGAGCTCTTGTCTGAAACAATTTTAAAAGAATGCAGCAATGATCCTGAAAGTTTCAACAGGCCTTAAAAATACATGGGTATACTTGATCCTCCAGTTCTGAGCAAGTTGGTCAAATCCCCGCAGACTGTGTCTATGGATCGTAAGACGTCAACTCTCAAAACTGTAGTACGTGTGTGATTTTAAGAGTGTGACACAAGAAAAACAGCTCAAGTAAAATGCCATTACAGAATGACTCTCCCTGAACCACTCAGTTGTGGAATATCAATGCCTAATGCTTGGCATAAAATTTTCAGTATTATTGGCAACTCTGTAAAACTGCCAGAGTTTAGTCTGCTGCAGTTTGCAAAGGCATCTGTCTTCCTTTTAACAAGCAGCATTTGGAAATCCTTTTAGAAATTTTCCGTTCTGATACATTCATAAGCAGAGAACATGGTTGTTAGACAAAACAATTCTAGAAGGAGAAAATTGTCATTCACAATTAGCCATAAAACTTATCAGTACATCTGGTCATCACATAAGTCCAGGAGAAGCTTGCTGTGAAAAGCCATCACAGCACTTTCCTTACTCATATTTACTTTTCCTTAAGACAAAACCAGTACCAAGCGATTTTGAAAATATTTTATGGTCTTTCCCAAGAACTCAACTCTCCTATACGGTCATAGAACAAACAAAATTATGTTAGTATCTGTGAAAGACCACCACATTTTGTATTAGACTTACTGAAGCGAGCAAATCTCAGTTTTAAATTGAGAAGAATCATCAGATGTCTGGGCAAGTTTACTGGACTTCAATTTTAATTCATTTTCCAAAGAGTTTATTCTTTCTTTCAGGATAGAGACTGTAGCCTTTAGTTCACACCTTTCCATCTCAAACTGCAATTTAAAAAAAATAGCCAAACATGTTATTGTTGTAGAAAGCTATCACAACTTGGCTTTTAAATAAATTTAAGTTGAAAACAGCTAACAAAATTAATTGTTTGAAAAGTCTATCCTATTTTAGAAATAATAAAAGCATACTTCCTAAAAATGCACTTACTCCTTGAATATTATTCTCCAGTTCTGAAATATCATGCTGCATCTTTGATTTTTCAAGGTTAGCTGCTTCTTGTTGAATCTGAGATAGGAATATAGAATTACATGTCATAAGATATACATTTTTAGATTTAACCATAGAAATTTAAGCTTAGTGTTTAAGAAAACATTGTTCTACATTCTTAGATGAATGACCAAATGCAAAGTTCTCTCTATAAAACTACAGCACATTAGCTGAAAATACAGCACTGAAGTTCAATATAACATCACTGAGTTTGTTTTTGGGTTTGTTTTTTGGTTGTTTTGTTTGTTTGTTTGTTTGTTTAAAGAAAAAGTGTATTTGTATTTGGTCCCAACCAAATTAATATTTGTGAGTTGTAGAAAGATTACTGAGCTACAGGACAATATGAAAAGTTGCAGGCATACATAGCTTAGTGTCCTAAGCTGTTTGAAATTAATTTATGAAATAATCATTAATATGAAGTGTAGGACCAAATACAAAGCTAACTGGTCTTTCTCCAAGTCTATGAAGAAATTTTTTTTAAATTATTTGTCTGTTCTCTGACTTCTGTGCATAAGTGCAGTGAAATTATTAAACAAACTCTCAAACTTCCTAGAAATGCCTGAGGTAAGTGTTTTTGTGCAGATATTTCAAAGTGGCACACATACAAAATGTTGGTTGTCACCTACAAGAAGAAAGGATAGAGCTGGAAGCACATCTCTTCCACTGCATGCACATGCTTTAAGCAAAGGGGTCAGAGTTACTGCCACTGCATTCAGATACACTACAGTTCTCTATTTTTGTGGTAGTAAATCAAACTATGGAAACATTCATTGTACAGTCAGCCTTGACATATATTGTCTTTGGATCAGTCCGTTAATATGATTTTAAATTTCTGAATTTTCAGCACGTTTTAAAGACCTGTATACATTATATTAATGACCCGATAAAGAAGTAAGGGAAACCCCCCTGAAATCATATGCTCTTGACGACAACCAAGTAAGACATTAATGCACATTAATACCAGACATCAAAAGGTCAGAGTAACAGGAAAATTATTGGATTAACAAATATTTTTTTAAAGGTTAAAAATAATGAAACTTGGATTGCTTTGAATTTGTTTGATGGTTCAGTTATATGTCATTTAAGATATACTCTGCTACAAAATGCAACAGTAACTAAAGATTAGTTAATATGAAAAAGTCCATAAAGTCCCCAGTTTGTGGGATAAGAACCACAGGTGACAGACAAGCATCTTCGAAGTAGTGCATACACACAAAAATATTCTGTGGTTGGGGCTTCATATCTAGGTTCTTCACACAAGGTGATGCCATGCTTGCCCTCAGACACTTAAAGCATGTTCCTCTCCCCCTACCCCACCTAGGAACTGAATTTACAAGGATAATTCAGACAATTCATCGAGCTCTCTCAAGTGAGTTTGAAATCAGGTAAGTTCAAAAGTTATTGAAAAGGGGAGCTGACACACAGCCAGACACAAACACAGCATTATTGTGTAAGCCTTCCCTACATGCCACCTCACTGTAAGCAATGAAGCTATAAAAGCTTACCTTTAATTTTTCTCTGAGGCTTTCTTTTTCTGCCATTACTCTTCTAAAGTCAGTCAGTGCAATGTTTCTTTCTTCTTCTACGTGACTTTGAGAAACTAAACTATGTTTTGCTTCTCTTCTCATCCTGTTCAATTCACCCTGAGACTTTAAAAGATTATCGTTTGTTAGCATATGTTGCAATTAATACAGTGTATACACTAACAAAAAAGAAAGTTTCAATGCTGTTACTACAATAGAAGTGCTATTATAGTCATTTTTCCCTAGATAACTAAAATGTATCCCCTAAATCATGCAGTGGCATGACAACTTACGCTGCCAACACACTCACCATCCTTTTGCTGTTCCAAGTATAGCCTAACTTCACTCTCTTTTCTTATCCGTTAACTACTACTTCTTCCATGCTTTCTAGCCTGTATCCTTACCCAACTTTCTCATGCATTCTACTTATTTTTTTTTCCTGATCTGTCTCATTTCCGAATGCCAGTACAGTAAGTTATAATGGCTTTGAAGTTAATACACTAGCTCTGGAATACATAATTTTATTAACAAGTAATAAAAATAGGTATATATTTTATTATTCGTGGTTGTATTCTAGCAGGTCTATATTCCTCAAGTTCTATTACAGAGAGAAGTTTTTTCATTTTAAATAAGCAACAGTACAGCAAGTGTTAATCGGTTATTTCAATGCCAATTATAAACAATCTCTTCTTACCTGCTCATAAAGAACATTTAATCTATCTCTTTCTGCAGTCAATAATTTGACATTGGATTGAATTTCTATCATGTGTTTTTCAAATCTGTCTAACATGGACCGCAGCTCATCTCTCTCTCTGGTGATAAATCTAAGATCGTCACTCTGCAAAGTGATTAATACAATTTATGTTAAAATATGCTAATTAAAATAGTTGGGTAAATAATAAAAAAAAAGAAAGAACTCATGCTATTAGTAATACATGAAAAATACATACATAATAAATTTTAATTGCAAGAAAAAGCCTGGCATTGGTGGTATAATTTAAACAGTAAGAACTAACTGTTAAGGAGAAAAAGCAAAACAGCTAACAATAAGATTTCAACCTTTTTCTGTTTATCATCTAGTTCTATTTATTTCAAACTGATCAATATGTTACTGTCAAATGTGAATAGGAAAATAAAAGGCAAGTTCACTGGAGGTTCTCTCAGTTAATTTTTTATGTTAAGAATGTAATTTAAGAAACTACTACAGTCATTTACTGCTACTGAATTTGAAAATATATTTGATAGCTCCTTAAATGGTTCTACAGTATTTCCACTATTTTTTCAGCTTGTCTTGACAGCAGGAACTTTACCTTCTCTGCAGTCCTACGGCTTGGGCTAGGCCTTCGTTTTATCATTTTCTGAAGATATTCTAATTCTCGCTTATAATAATCTCTGTCGTCTTCTAAAGTCTTTACAAATGCATCTAGGCGAGATGGAGATTTGTCTCCTAGGGCTATACCATATTCTAATCTCATTCTTTCTATTTCTAGGACAAGTTCGCGTTCTGCAGAAACAGAAATAAAAACAATTGTATAGGAATCTCATGAATTTCCACAAAAACATTTGCATTTGGGATGGACTAACTCCCAGCAACCGTCTGGGCAGCAAATCTGCTGAAAAGGATGTAGGAGTCCTGGCTGACAGTAGGCTAAACATGAATGAGGAGCGTGCTTTGGAACCGCTAGAGGCCTAACAGCATATTGGGCTGCATCAGTGGAGACACAGGCTGAGGGATGTGATTATTCCCCTTTACTTAGCACTCATTAGATCACACTTACAATACTGTGTTCAGTTTTGTCCCCCCTAGTACAAGAAAGATGTTGGTAAACTTGAGTGAGTCCAGGGGAGGCCCTCCAAGCTGGTCAGGGAGCAGAATACTTGCTCTGTGGGGAACGGCTGAGCGAACGGGGCTTGTTCATCCTGGAGAAGAGCTGGGGACCCAAGCGCAGACCGACAACACAAAGAGGGGGTTATAGATAACATGGAGCCAGTTTCTTCACGGAAGTGCACGGTAGGTAAACAAGGAACAATGGTGATTAATTGCTACAGGCAATTACAAGCAATACAGGGAAAAAAATTTTTACTCTGAGAATAAAAAAAAACATCGGAATGGGTTGCTTAGAGATGTTGTAGAAACCTGGAGGTTTTCAAGATCCAGCTGGATAAACTCTCAAGAAACTCAGTCTGAATTCACTCACTCAGAAAGACAGAGAATAAAAACACTTTTGGACAAAAGAAATTATTTTGTATGAAACTGTGTCCTGTGGGATCACAGTAAAAAGCTCAACTTTCAGTTCTCACATACAGGATGAAAACATGTTTCTGTGACAAAAGTTTTCAATTCTGACTGAAGACCTACAGTCTTCTTTTAATTTACATATATCAAGTCTTTTAGTATTATTAACTGTATTAACTAGGTAACGTTTTCTATTGCAAAAATTATAGGAAGATAAATTTACAGGAATCTACATTTGATGATTTACCTTTTCTTTCTAAGTTCTCTGTTTTTTCTGTCAACCTTTGTTTCTCTTGTTCAAGCTGGTTTAACAACAATTCAAGATTCTCTTTATCATCTGCTTTTCCAAAGAGTTCTTCACTCAGTCTCTCGTTCTCCCTACGACATGAGCACAACTCCTGAAGTAACAAGTATTATTACAAAAATTAGAAGTGCCAATAGAGACATTTGGAAAAAATTATTTATCATTTTGTTAAACGTTTAACATTTAACACAGTTTACTTCTGTTTAACCTGGGTGTTTTATACCTTACCATTTGTTAGAGGCCATTATTATTTTTATAATACTTTTTATTACATCAAAGTAAGCATTACTTTTGACATGGTTTGCAATCAGTAACAAAACAAGCAAGATTAACCCTTGTTTAATTCAAGAAACAACCAGAAGGATAGTGGGATGCAAGTATGGAAAAAAGTAATAACTAAAACAAGAAATAATTTTTAATGGCACTTAGTAACACTGTTGGTGTTAAAGTACATCACAATACGGCATCTCAGTCACCCAACCCTGCAGCTAATCAAATACTATTTGGCATGTCTTTCCTATAATCTGGTGCCTTGAAAATGAGATATTTTTGTATTTTCAAGTTCACTAGAAATACTAAAACAAAACAACTAATACACAACTTGCTATATGCTGAAAAGAGTTTGGTCTTCAAGGAATTGATAATACTGATGTTTTTCATCTGGGCTACTATGCTTTGTTTCTGAGTGAGATAGGTATTGCATAATTATTCACATGCTGATTAAAAGAGAAAGTTTCTAAATGCAGAAAATCCTCTAGGATGTCATAACTCATTTGTGGTAAAAATAATTGTCTCATGGAAATTACAACTTCAAACAGCAGAAATAAGGAAATGTACAATAAGGACATAGTCAACCACACTGTCTACAGAGGTTTCTTTCAGTTTATTTTTGCAACAATATGATGTAGCTTCTTTAGCTCTTTCATTTATTAATTAGTAATTTATTACAATAGAGTTTTGGGGTACTATAAAATTTCTCTTGTTAATTGTTAAATTGTTAATTTTTATAATAAATGAAAGAACCATGTGGATGACAGTATGATAAAAATGCTACAAACAAAAACTGAAAGCGTTTTTACTTACTGATTTAAGCCTTGTTATTGTTTCTTCAAGATCCTGTATTTCACTGTGTTTTCTTTCAATTTCTTTCTATCAACCAAAATTAACCTATATGTTAAAAGTTACATATTCAAAATGACAACAATTCCTTTGTTAGAAAAAAATTAAGGAAACAGACTATTTTTGTAAGAAATAAAGTATAATTAGCTCCTTGTAATCTGCCAAATTTTAAGTAGTAAAGCTCCTATGAACCGAAAGCACAAAAAATTTGTGGTATACACACCCATGCTCTTTTGGAGCACAACAGTTAAATAAATCATTGCATAACTGCTCGTAGAAAAAAAACCTCCAAACACAGGCATCACTGTTGCAAATATCTATTACCTATCAATAGTTTTAAGTATCCCAGAATTTTATTTCATATTAAGCTACAGAAGAAGGAAGACAGATTGCCTCATAATTAAACTCATCTCACCTAATACAGTAAAGAGACAAAATTGCTGTGATTGATCATCTTTTAGTGATAAATTCTGTATAATATTACGTAAACTGGAAAAAAGATCTTTTTAATCTTCCTTTACAAGCCAATAGGTCATTTGTTGCAATTAAAAGATATAAAGCCATCTAAGAGCTGAGCAGATCTTTCACACTGTAACACGTTAGAGATTACCTTTGCTTCTCCTATTTCCTTATCTGCAGTCTCGAGCACAATTTCCTTGTGTCTTTCCAACTGCTGTGCCAAGTGGTCTATTTCATTCAGTTCCTGACACAGTTCTTCATTTTTATTGCTTAAATGCACTACCTCACTTGTCACATTTTGTTTAGTGTCCAAGAGGTCTTGAATGCGATTTTCAAGTTCTTTGTTTGTTTGCTGAAGATATTCAACCTGAAAGATATTTTTCATGAAAATATTAATATGTATTGTTAAACTAGGTAGCAAAAGTTCCTCCCAAACTTCTGAAATATAGTATCTCTATAGTATCCATAGTAAAAAAGGGACAGCCTGTTAAAAATGTCAAGATTTTCTATTTTTAGAACTTAATGCTTATCAACATGAAAAAATATGATTTTACAAAAGTGCAAGGTGAAGGAATTCATTACTACGCTGTTCTTTATCTACTCTCCAAAACCTGAGTTTTATTCTAAGAACAAAGTACTGAAAAGCAGAGATCTGTATAGAAACCTGTCTTGGGCATCAGTCTGGTAGACTCAGTGTACTCAGAGTTTCCCTAAATTTCACAAGATATGAGGACACATTCTTCTCTCCACCTCTGTATTATATTTCCTAGGCTTAGTCTCACTGTTACTCCTTCATGAAAGTGAAGCTTTACAGATCAGATTCCCAAAACTGATCTTGCCCCCAAAATGGAGTGCTGCAATGGATGGGTATAAGCT